ACTTGATCCCCGGAGCTACTCCTGTAGCTAAGTCTCCTTACCGTTTAGTGCCAGCGGAAATGCAGGAGTTATCCAGCCAGCTCAATGAGCTGATCAACAAAGGATTCATAAGGTCGAGTTCCTCACCCTGGGGAGCTCCGATCTTATTCGTGAAAAAGAAAGATGGATCCTTTCGGATGTGCATTGACTACTGAGAACTGAACAAGTTGACCATCAAGAACCGATATCCCTTACCCAGAATCGATGATCTCTTCGACCAACTTCAGGGAGCCAATTATTTCTCAAAGATAGATCTAAGATCAGGGTACCATCAGTTGCGAGTTCACGAGAATGATGTGCCCAAGACAGCATTCCGAACTCGCTATGGACACTACGAGTTTGTAGTAATGCCCTTTGGTCTGACCAACGCACCGGTAGTGTTCATGGACCTGATGAATCGAGTATGCCGCCCTTTCCTAGACAAGTTCGTGATCGTGTTCATTGACGATATACTTGTCTATTCTCAGAGTGAGGACAATCATAAACAGCACTTGAGGCAGGTGCTGGAAACGCTAAGGGTGGAGAAGCTATATGCAAAATTCTCAAAGTGTGAGTTTTGGATCAGGAAGGTGAATTTCCTTGGTCACGTGGTTAGCAAAGAAGGTATACACGTGGACCCTTCCAAAATCAAAACGATAGAGAATTGGTCTGCACCAAAGACACCCACAGAAATCCGGCAATTCTTGGGTCTCGCGGGCTATTATCGCAGGTTCATCCAAAATTTCTCCAGAATCGCTAAGCCTTTAACTACCCTGACACAAAAAGGTGTAACCTTCAGTTGGGGAGTCAAGCATGACACTGCGTTTCAAACATTGAAGCAGGCCCTATGCAGCGCACCTATTTTGTCCCTGCCAGAAGGGACGGAAGCCTTCGTGGTCTATTGTGATGCGTCCAATCAGGGCCTAGGCTGTGTGCTCATGCAGCGTGGAAAGGTCATCGCCTATGCCTCAAGGCAGTTGAAAACACACGAAGTCAATTACTCAACTCACGATTTAGAGTTGGGAGCAGTGGTCTTTGCGTTAACGATCTGGAGACATTATCTCTACGGAACCAAGTGCACTATCTTCACCGACCATAAGAGCTTGCAGCATATCTTTGATCAGAAGGAGTTAAACATGAGACAGCGACGATGGGTAGAGCTACTCAGTGACTACGAGTGCGAAATTCGTTACCATCCCGGCAAGGCCAATGTGGTAGCAGATGCCCTCAGCCGAAAGGAGTATTTAGGGCGTAAGGTGAAGGTACTAACAATGACCATCCATTCCCATCTACCCGCGCAAATCAGAGAGGCTCAGTTGGAAGCCTTGAAACCCGAGAACATGGCAGATGAAGCGTTGCGGGGAATGGACAAGAACTTGGAGGTCAAAGGAGACGGAGTGTACTATTTCATGAACCGGATCTGGACCCCAAAGTTCGGCGGGTACAGAGAGGTTGTCATAGATGAGGCTCACAAGACGAAATACTCCGTTCACCCAGGTTCAGATAAGATGTATCTGGATCTCAAACAGCTCTATTGGTGGCCAAACATGAAAGCAGAGATTGCAACCTTCGTGGGCAAGTGCTTGACTTGCGCCAAGGTGAAGGTGGAATATCAAAAGCCCTCGGGTTTACTTCAGCAGCCAGAAATACCTGAGTGGAAGTGGGAAAGGATAACCATGGATTTTATCACCAAATTACCCAGATCTCCGAGTGGGCACGATGCCATCTGGGTAATCGTCGATCGGTTGACGAAGTCCACCCACTTCCTGCCAATCAAAGAAAACTTCAAGATGGAGAGACTCACACGGATTTACATTCAAGAGATAGTTCGCCTTCATCGGGTACCTGTATCCATTATCTCTGACCGAGATAGCAGGTTTACCTCGAGATTCTGGCAATCACTACAGAAGGCTCTTGGAACTAAATTGGATATGAGCACGACTTATCATCCGTAGACTGATGGGCAGAGTGAGAGAACAATTCAGACATTGGAAGATATGTTGAGAGCTTGCGTCATCGACTTTGGCGCATCATGGGACACTCATCTTCCTTTGGTCGAATTTTCCTACAACAAAAGCTACCATACCAGCATCAGGGCTGCGCCGTTTGAAGCCCTCTATGGCCGCAAGTGCAGATCCCCGCTGTGTTGGGCTGAAGTGGGTGACACGCAGCTAGTCACGGGTCAAGTCCCTGACAGCACTCTCACTGGTCCTGAGATTATCCGAGAGACGCAGCTAGTCACGGGTCAAGCAGAAGTACCCCCATCTCTTTCCAAGTTCATGATTGTACTTTATTCTTGAATTTCGGGACGAAATTCCCTCTAACGGGGGGATGATGTGACAACCCGGAACTTTAATCTTGTACCATTAATCAGTTCAATCAATATTTAACTTGTTTTGTCGATTTCTGGTGCTGTTCAAGGGTTCATTTAAGTGTTCTAAGCTTGCATTTGACCAAGGTTGAGTTAGGAATAAGTCAAAGTGTAGCAAAGTTAGAAAAACTGGGCCATACACACCTCTTGGAGGAGTGTACGGTCGTACACATGGGTGTGCGGCCGCACACCCACTCCCTTGGCAGCACACTCACTTTTGGGCAGCACACTCACCCTATATAAAGGGTAGACCCCTTTCCTTTCATTCCTTTAACACCTTGGCAGCACACAACTCTATTCTCTCAAGTTTCTCCAACTTTGAACCTTCCAAAGCTTCAAGAACGTGAGTGCTTCTTCCTCTAGCTTACAATCCATGAAAGACCCCTCTATCTAAGCCTTAAGTGTGCCAAAAATGGACATGTTCTTCGTGTTGGAAGTGAGTGCGGCCGCACACCCTCTTAGGGTGGCCGCACACCCTTAAAACACCCTCCAAAGTGAGAGTTTGACTTCCATATTCGAGATAGACATGCCCCTAGCCTTGTTGCACCTTGGAAATGGCATTTTGGACATTTTGGTGTGGGGTGTAAGACCGCACACACCTGTGTACGGCCGCACACGCACCTGTACGGCAGCACACTCAAGTGTGCGACCACACACTCATCATAGGGCTGCAAACCCACTTCTAAGACCCCTATCTTGCACTACAATGTAGTATAGACCTAGAACACTTCGTGGATGTGAGTATGGACCTTGAGAACACTTCGAAGGCACCTCATTTCATGAGTGTACTGCCGCACACCCATTGGGCCGCACACCCGTGGCCGCACACACACTCAAGGTGGCCATACACCCCCTATACTCAATCCTGCAAGGTCCTATCACTTGGTACACATAGTTTCAAGTATCTACAGTGAATTCCAATGGTTTTTAGTAGTGAAAAACCTTCATTTGACTCCTATGTGTGTGGCATTACATGTATTATGATCAAGTTGAGTTCGAGGTTTCATTAGACACTCAACATCTCGTACCGGACTTTCGTGAAAACCACTCGCTCAAGGTGAGTTCATACCCCTACATTTTCCGTATTTTTAACGTTTTCAGGGGGGAATACAAGCTAAACATAAATTTTTTCAAACTCATGCAATTCTCATACTTTAACCCTTTTGTATTGTGTTGAGCATAAGGGACGTTTTCACAAAAATTGCATAGTTATTTGTAAACCCATTCTCTCTTTTACTATTTGATAGTTCCTAGTTCTCTCCCTCAACATTTTCTTTTGGATTATTACCGTTAAATGATCATTGGTACCAATTTACTTTAATGAACTTGTGCTTTCAACCAAAACACACGTACACGTACACACACAAACACAATTTAAGGTTGTTGGTTGTTTGGAAAGTTGATTTGGGTCATTAAATCCCAACTTATTTGAAATGGTTTCTTTAACTCGATTTGGGTCGTTAAATCCCAACTTACTTGAAATGGTTATGCTTAACTTAATTTGGGTCACTAAATCCCAATTTATTGAAATAGTATTGTCAAACTTGTTTTGGGTAAATAAACCCCAATATGATTGAAATAATTTTGAAAAGATTTGGGTCATGGAACCCCTACATCTTTTGGAAATTGATTTTATATGGTTTATCAAAGGCTGATTTGAGTAAGTTAGATTGCTATCTTATTCAAAGTGAATCCACATCGAGTATTTTTTGAAATATGCTCAGGTTGAACATAGAGGTGAGAAGTGGAAGACTTTAGCTTGGATTTTGTGAAGAGCACAACTTGTGTGGTGGGTTGAACAAGTGTTTTGATGTGTTGATTGTAAACAACCTCATTATTTTAAAACTAAAATATTTTCTTAAAAGGGTTTTACAATTAAGGGTTTTAAAACTAAAATATTTTCTTAAAAGGGTTTTACAATTAAGCCCTAGCGAAGGGTGTTACATAATGTTAAAAAATGGTAACTTTATTTTTTATTTTTTATGTTATTTATTTATTTTTTCTTAAAAAGGCTTTACAATTTATGAAGTTTGATATTGTTTTTTTGTTATGTTCTAAAAATTAAAATTGAGTTATGATTTATAAAATTTGATTAAGAAAGAAAAAGAATAATATCCTTAAACATGGCGTGAACATATGCCTACAAAGGTTGTTCGACCGACGAATATCACTCGAATAACATATCCGTTCAACAACTATTAACAAACAACATTGAATCATTCAAGCATCTTAATAGTTTAATTTCTACCGAATAGTCTCTCTTGTTGTATATTTATTTGGGACGTGATCGAACTTTAAGGTTTTAGAGGTGAGAATGTAAAATATAGAAGTGCGGGGACTAAATGTTAAAACTTCTAAACTTGAAGGTATAATTTTGGGCTGTGATCAAGTTTTAAGGTTTTGGAGGTGAAAATATAAAATGTGGAAATATGGGGACTAAATGTTGAAACTTCTAAACTTGAAAGTATATTTTTTGGGGACGTGAAAATTTTAAGGTTTTGAAGGTAAGAATGTAAAATGGAGAAATGTGGGGACTAAATATTGAAACTTCTAAACCTGAATAAATTTATTTGTCATTATTTTGACTCTCTCGTTGACCGATGTATCTAAAGAGTTGTGACTTGTGAGATGAGAGAGGAGTCGAGCGCTGGATGAAATAATCAGCCTAACTCAGATCGATCCCAGCTTAAAGAACAAATGACTGAAGAAACTCTACGGGAATTGAAGTGTAAGCGGTGAGTTGATTGCAAAGTAAAATCTTAGAAAGGGCTTCTGCTAAAATCTGGCGTTGCTGAGAATTTGAGGTTCGTTCTGAAACTGATAAATTGATGAAGAATAAGTTGTCAATAAATAAATTGATGTGTTAATAAAGTTCTATAGGACTTATTGATTAAATTCATTAACTGGTAAGAAAAATGTCGATCTGGAATGTCGGAAACGTATTTTGACGTAATCTAGTCATATCTTTGAAGTTTTTGAATTAGTGTAGTTAGATGATAAAATTAAACAATTTGTGAAGTTCATGAGCTGTTGTGGATGTCATGAACGAAAGGAATTAGTGGGAAAATGAATCTAAGAATGTGTATTTGTTGTGGATAGAAAAAGAGAATCAAACAGGGTAATAGGGAATTTAAACGATCCTTTAAGAGGGGACATTTAAACATTATATTTAGATCAAAGATACCAGTCATTTACTGATTACCAATTCTGGTGTTTCGAATTTAGGCTGGTTAGTGATTAAGATGCTTGTTTGCTACACTGTTGTAATTGTATTGATTGAATTGAATTCTGAATACAGAAATTGTACAGGTATTTATACACAGTAGGAAGGGGGAATAAGGCCTAAGTATACGGCACTAACTAACGGAATACACAAGATTAGGTAAACTATTTGAACACTTCATTTTCATGTTGATCGCGTGGTTATTAGGTATAAACATGTGTTAAGGATCTAAAGTTGGGCATTGAAGAGAATTGACAGAGAAGAGTGAAGGGGTTGAGGAAAGGTATCTACATACTCAAATCAATTCAAGTTGAAATAAGAAATTAAGGAACAAATCCTATGGAAATTGATGCATAAGCTTGCAAACTGAAGAGTTTAGAAAAGGAGTCTGCCAAAGCTTGGTGTTGCTGGGAAATTTCATCCACTTATTTTAAGAAAAATCCCAATGTAGAATTAATAATAAAACGTCAATTTGTATAATGTGGTGTGACAACTAACTTACAACACCTACATCAGTTCATATCCGTCTTTTGAATCATAAATTCATAACTTGCATTATTTATCAAAGGAGTTTTATTGACAAAACAACGGGAAAAAAAACAATTAAGGACTGGTTATGAGGTTCTCTAAATGGCAACCAATTACTTCAATTATGAGTTCTGAAGATGTTTTTCTACATGATAACAGGTAGTGGAAACTCACACCTCAGTTATAATATTTCATCATTGAAGTACTCAAACTGCATACAGTCTATCTCAACAAATCAACATATCAATGGCATCTTCATCTTCATCTCCTTCTGCTATGGCCTTTTCTTCTCAGTTGTGGAAGTACCATGTTTTTCTTAGTTTTAGAGGAGAAGATACTCGTAAGACTTTTGTTGATCATCTCTACACGGCTCTTGTACAACAGGGGATCTACACTTACAAGGACGATGAAACATTTCCTCGGGGAGAATCAATTGCCCCATCCCTTGAGAAGGCCATTGAAGAATCACAAATTGCTGTCATCATATTCTCTAAAAACTATGCTGATTCTTCATGGTGCTTAGATGAACTTGTACATATCATGAAATGCAAGGATATGAGAGACCAAATCGTTATTTCCATATTCTATGATGTGGATCCCTCTGAAGTGCGGAAACAAAAACGAAAATATGGAGAAGCATTTGCTAAACATGAGTTGGAAAACAAGACCAAGGTTGAATCTTGGAGAAAAGCACTTGTGGATGCAAGTAACCTTTCTGGATGGGAACCCCAACACATTGCCAACGGGTAATTAATCTCCTTCTTGGTTTGTGTACTTTTTATGCTTAAAATATGTGTGTTCATCTACTATAAGTCATTTATACTAGATCCTTATAAGTTATTAAAAGGACAAAGCCAAATTCTTGATGATACATGTTTCTAGAGAACAACTAGTTATGTATAAAGAATTAATGATGAAAATAATTATACCCGTGCTATGCAGTACACCAATAAAAATATCTATATTTTAGAAGGGAAACAACAAGTATGATCTGAAGAAGTTCTATTAGCTATTATGAAAACACACCAGGTAGTACAGAGTGATGATAATAAGTAGGCTGTCATACAAATGCTTTGATTATTCTGGATGATGTTGATGACCTTAATTGATACACAAAGGCTAAAACTAGATCACTTGATAAGAGCCAAATATTATAATCACTACTACAGGAGATTGACATTTGCTAAGTATACACAAAGTAGACATTGTCGAGGGTAGTAGTATATAATAGGGCTATTTTTCATTCTGAGCATGTTTTAATGATCCTTATATATCCAATTTGCAGGCATGAGTCAAAGTGCATTAAAGAAATTGTTGACATAATTTCTCATAGGTTGCGTCCAATAACTTCAAGTGTGGATGACAACCTGATTGGAGTAGAGTCTCGCATGCAAGATTTTATATCAAAGTTACAAATTGGGTTTGGTGGTAAGAGAATGATTGGAATATGGGGAGTTGGGGTGGTGGCAAGACTACTCTTGCCTCTTCTATCTATGATGAAATTTCTAGTAAGTTCGATGGTTGTTGCTTTCTAAAAAATATCCGGGAGGAATCAATTAAAAAGAATGGTCTTGAAAACATGCAAGCAGAAATTCTTTCTGGGGTTTTGAAACAAAAGCTAGTGCAAGTAGGAAGAGTTGAAGAAGGAAGGCGCATGATAAAGGATAGGTTACACCATAGGAAGGTGTTGATTGTGCTTGATGATGTTGACAACCTTGAGCAGCTAGAACAGTTAGTTGGATCACATGATTGGTTCGGTGAAGGAAGCCGGATAATAATCACAACTAGAGATGAGCATGTATTAAGTGGACACAGAGTAGATGTTATACACAAAATTAGCTTGTTAAACGATGACGAGGCTATGAAGCTTTTTTGTAAACATGCACCCCAGGGTCAGAATCCTACAGAAGATTATGAGTTGCTTTCAAAAGATGTGGTTTCTTATGCCTGTGGGCTCCCATTAGCACTTAGAGTTCTGGGTCGTTTTCTATGCGACAAAGATATGAATGAGTGGAGGTGTGCCTTGGCTAGATTGAAAGAAATTCCAGATGCTAATATTTTGGAAAAGCTAAAAATCAGCTATGATCCCACATCGGCCGAAAGTACTATAAGTTGGTGGCTTATAAGTCTAGGTGTCCCCTCCTCCTACAAGCTGGCTTTTGGGAGTGAGTTCTACACTTGGGCTTATGGCATGATGCGGGCCTAGTATGGGATGGGTCCGTATCACTTCGATGGACTTACACCTGTGGAGAGAGAGTTGTTCCTTGATATTGCATGTTTCTTTAAAGGGCATGATTATAAAGATGAAAAGATGATGATGATACTTGATGCTTGTGGTTTTCACCCTGTTATAGGCATAAAGGTGTTGATACAAAAAGCTCTCATAACTATTTCGAATAAAAGATTTAGTATGCATGATTTGGTAGAAGAAATGGCACACTACATTGTTAGAGGGGGGCACCCTAACAATCCCGAAAAACATAGTCGAGTTTGGAAGAGGGAAGATGTTTTAAATATATGTGCTATGGATGCAATGGAGGTAATTGTTAAAACTAGCTTTTCGTGATATATATATATATATATATATATATATATATATATATCCTGACACAATTTCATTCCTTGATCCCAGAACCTGGACAAGATTGAAGCTATAAATTATTGGTGTCTAAGAAGTACTCGCGAATCACAAGTTTTTCTTCAGGTCATTGCAAACATGAAGAAACTTCGGTGGATTGATCTGAGCTTTGGATTGACATCTACATTACCAGAAATTTTTTCACCAATGGAGCTGTGTTGTCTGAAGGTCATTGCAAACATGAAGAAACTTCGGTGGATTGATCTGAGCTTTGGATTGACATCTACATTACCAGAAATTTTTTCACCAATGGAGCTGTGTTGTCTGATATTTTCTGGCCTCAAGGAAACACAAATTTGGGAGGGTTATAAGGTACTTCTTATCGTAAATGGCTAGAATGGATTTATTATGTTAGCAAACTTTTGACTTATGTGCACTTGTATTTACAGTATCTACCAAATTTGAGGACGATAAAGCTTGATCTAATGCCAAACCTAATGAAGACACCTAATTTTGATGGGCTTCGGAACCTTGAAAGATTCATGATTAGGGGATGTGGAAAATTAATAGAAATTCATCCATCATTTGGGCATTTGGAAAAGCTAGTTTACGTAGTGATAGACGGTTGTTTGAATCTTCAGATGCTTCCACCCATTACCCAGTCGAAGAAACTTGAGACTCTTAAACTCTCAAACTGCAGCCAACTTTTTAATTCTTCAAGGATTCAGCAAAGTATGGAGAATGTAGAACATCTCCCAGAGCCTTTTCTTCCTCACAACATAAACCACGTAGGGCTACGCTTTTTTAATGGATGCTTGAGAAAGTTGGATCTCAGTGGTTGCTTTTTGGGAGATGGAGACATCAACTCTACTGCTGTTTGAGAGTTTCCTAACTTGCAAGAACTCGATCTACATGGGAATAAGTTTTCAAGATTAAATTTTAGTCGAATTCCTCGACTGAAATGTCTCAATGTGTCATACTGCTTCAATCTTGTAGAATTGTTGGAGCTGCCATCAAGTATAGCTGTTGTTCTAGCGGATGGTTGTATGTCACTTGAAACCCTTGGAGATATTTCAAACTGTAAATGGTTGTGGAAATTCTCATTGTGGGGGTACAACAAACTTGGTCCACTTGATGGTGACGTATTACTAAACACCATGCTCCAGGTTTGGCTTTTCATTTTCATGCTTTTTGTATATATATATATATATATATATATATATATATATAAAGCAAAACATTAAAGAATAAGGATAATCATAATCGAATGTGTTTGTTTTGTGGCAGGGAAATGCCAAAGATTACTTTATGAGTATCAACCTTTCAAACATTGACATTTGGATGGGGGCGTCTGTACGTTGGTTCGACTGGGTGAAGACTTATAATATGCAGCTTCCACACAATTGGTACAATCACTTTTCTGGGATTTTGATGTTCGCTAAATGCAACAATCAGTATCGGCGCTTTAATATAATTATCAAGCAGGGTGTAGATGAAGATTTTCAATCTGAGTTCTGGCAGGAATCTAATCAAACACTTGAGTCTTCTTTTCATGACACGTATGTAGGATATGTTTCCTTCAGTTCACTGAGGCGCACAGGATACTTGAATTCAACATACAATATGATTTCATTTTCTGTGGGGGATAGTTTGTTGTTTGATAGAGCTCAGCATAGGTTCAGAGCTAGAGTTGTACTTGTTCCTAAAGATGATCCCATGCAAACAGCAGCAATCGCCACAAATTGCTCAGAATTTTGGGATAAGGAAGTTCTTAATAGAAAGACATTTACCATACAACATGATTCAAACTCCTCTATCAAGATTTCATGGCTTCCTTGGATCTGACAAACGCATTCCCACAGGTATCGAATAACTTTTTCTTGTGCATTATTGTTGGTGGTAACATTTACTCTTATAAATTTGTTGCTGTCAACCAAAACCTAAGCTGATAATAGATTCATGAGTAGCTTTAGTCTCAATTTCTTAGTGGTCTGTTAATTGATGGTGAAGGCAATAATAGAAGAGGGCTGTCTTTGATTACTCCGATGAAGATGATGAGGACAAAGATGCACTCAGTTTAGCCTCACATATCCTCCAAAAAAGCAACTTTATGTTGATCCAAAGACTAAAGATTTGGGTCTTCAAAGTCAAAACATGAATTAATATTGATGAACAAAAGGAAGTGAAACCAAAGTATAATGCCCCAAAACTAGTATAAAGTAAAACCAAATATTCTTTTCTTGTGTTTAAGACTTTTATACATGCTTACGGTGTTCAACACACTAACAAAAGGATACAATCATATCACAACCATAATTTCAGTGTACATCATACTAACAAGAGTGTATCACAACCATAATTTCACAACTATATTTTAGTTGCACATCATACCAACAACTATAGTTTAGGGCGTATTTGGGATTAAGTTTTGAAACAAAAAACACTTTAATAAAAGAGTGTATTAACTAATACAGTAGTAAAACAAAGTTTTTTAAAAAAGTGTTTGGATTAGCTTGTGTATCGACAAAAAGATATGTTGATAAGCACTTTTTGGAGTGTTTAAAAAAATGATTATATACGTAAACCATTGAAAAAAAGGGCATTGCTTATTCAGAATACAATCCTAAAATAAAACAAAATCAAAACACTCTCAGAAATCACACACGGAGTAAAAAAAAATAAGAAAGGTGAAATAAGTTATATATTCGAGAGATAAGGCTAATCAAGAAATTGCATAAAAACTTGAAGAACGCTTTGTGAAGTACCTAAAATATTCTTGTAGAATAAAGTCTGAAAATGAAGAACTGTAACCAAAAACGTAACGGGGTTAATGGTTATGTTTGGGAATTGAAGTTCATGTTTTGGAATTGGAAATGAAACATAATCCATTAATCTTGAGCGATGTGAGTTTGATTCCCATTCAAAGTGCAAACAATACTTTCTTTGTTAAGCATTTGCTATGGCATGTTGCTATGTTTATTATAAACCTTACCATACATGCCTAATAAATGTAAAAAGAGATTTTCTAATATGTGCCCTAAGGGCATACATAAGAACTATTAATTATGGAAAATATTACCAAAATTAAATGTGAAATGCATTAATTATGAACAATATTTTCTATAATTAATGAATTTCACATTTAATTATGGTAATATTCTCCATAATTAATAGCTCAATTAATGATGTTTGAGTGTGTCCTTATGGCACATGTTAGAAAATCTCATGTAAGAAAACATTGCAAAGGCACATTATATCATTTAGAAGATATTCATATGCATACCTCACACCTATACTTATCCTACCAAAATAACCCAACTTTTCAGGTGCACGTCACACACGCACATCAACAATTTATATCATATAGTAGAAATAATAATATCACCATTCTTAGTTAATGGCCAACATTCCATAACTTGCACAATTCTTAGTTAATGGCCAACATTCCATAACTTGCATAATATATACCGAGTAGTACCGGAAAAAACAAGTTCCCCACTTTAGAACACAAGGCCATTCAAGTTTTTTCAAATTAAGCTATTAGTTACTTAAGGAAATGAACAAAAATTTTTACACAAGCAGGCAAGTGTACCTAATCGAATGACAATATAGGTACCTAATCGAACACTTGGGGAACGAGTATAATCAAATAAAGAAAACTTAATTCTTGATTAAATAGTAAAAAGGTAAATTAGGGAATTTGAATCTTTAAATAAAAAGAAAAAGATTTTAGAAATCAAGAGAAACAAGTACTTTCACTTAGATTTAATTCCCCTATTAATTATTAATTACTAATTATGGTCGATTCAAATAAAGAAAATTCAATTCCACATGAATTTCGTCCATATATCGAGCACGTTAAAGATATAAAAGGAGATGAAAATTGTGAATTTTGGGCTATTGCTCTTTCTCTTGGTTATAGTGAAGATCATTAACATCAAATTTGGTCAGATTTATAAATCCAAATGATTTATGCAATGAGCTAATAAGACACCATAGAGAGTACACACTGATTTATTGACATCAAATTCGGTCATAGTGAAGATTATTGACATAAGATTCGGTCAAATTTATATAACGGTCTATTGCTCTTTCTCCTTGAATTTCGTTCGATCGGGTTTTACGACATCCAAATATTTATTGATTATGCCAAGACATTACTTTTATCATTACTAGCATATATGTTGTTATCATTCATTATCCGAGCAAAAAAAGTTCTACAATATGGTTCCCACTTTGGAATGGCCCCCACGACATCCCAAATCATGAATCTTTTGAGATCGTCCATGTTCACGGTAACCATTATGTGATGGTTGATTTACAAGGAGCGCATCTAATGCCTACATTTTTGTCATATTAGCTTATATACAGATCAGAACGTTCGTTCGGGAAACATTGTATAGTGCTCGACTAAATGTTTATGTTTTGCATAATACGCATAATGCATCGTGCAATTGTAATACTCAAATTGTTAGTATATATTCGATGATTAATAAAAACAAACTTTGCTTTATTATTATTTTTATTTATAATGTTTTTGTAATGATTATAATAATGATGAATAAATCAAATAAAATTAATAAAAAAATAACAAAAGACAAAATAGACTAAAAAAACAAAAATTAAAT